AGTTCCCCTAATTTTTGCTGCCTCGTGAAACCAGAGTACCATCAAAACACACACTTATTTTTGAACCTAGGTCCCAAAGCTGCAGCTTTCAGGCGGCCCATCCCTTGTGGCCGCCTGACAGTTAGCCCGGACCTCTTCTCGACGCCCCCGTCAAGCCCTAGCAACTTACGTCAGATGAAGCGGACGAGCTTCAGGGTGATGGCCCGTAAAGGACGCCCACGTCGGCGTTCAATTGTCTTATGTTTCAGTTTGTTATGAGTCCTGGGGCTAAGAAGATGCTTCTTGACTCTCATGTTTCTTCTGGTTTTTGTCCCCGGCACGATCCTCTTTTTCTTCTGTCTTTGCCCCGAGAAGGGTGCCAACCCGCCAGTACGTCTAACGCGAACTCTCCGTCTAGCTCGCTTGGGCACGAATAACCATCTCTTCTCTCTTCCTAAAGGTAACCCTTTGACCTTTCTCTTCTCTATTCTTTTCCTTTTCTTGGAACTCTCCCCTGCCTCGAATTGCCTCAAGGGGGCTCCATCCTCCATTATGGTTTTTCCTTTCCCTTTCGGGCTGGTCAGCGATAAGGCGGGCGCGGGCCTGGGCCTAAACAGCTTTAATCTAGCACCCGCCACTGGGTCCTTCCACTTGGATCCGTCTAATTCTGCTATCATATATGCACCCTTGTCGAGTGTCTCAACCACTCTGTAAGGTCTCATCCATCTGTTGGCGAGTTTTCCGGTCCAGGTTCTTTCCAGCGCTGCATCGTAGAGAAGGACCACATCTCCCGCACTCACCCTCTCCTTCCTGATTCTCACGTTTTTATCCCATCTCTCTTTACCTTTGTCTCTTTCCACTGTCAGACGATCTGCCGCTGTCATAAGGTTATCTTCCAAACCGTAGGCTATATGTCTTGTTCGGGCAGCTATGAGTTCCTCTCTGGACATCTCCTCCGCCCAGTCGACGGTTGTCCAGCTGTCGACGTGAAACTCTATGGGAAGCGGACAATGCCGCCCAAACCACAAGGTGTATGGAGGGTATCCCGTGCTAGCCCGGACCGTGACGTTGTGTGCCCAAATTGCGTATCGAAAATATCGTGACCAATCACTGTCCTTGCCTTTGCACCACTTAGATAGCGACGCTATCAGGGTCTGGTGCCCTCTCTCTACTGGGGAGTTCGATTGTGGGTGGTAGGCAGTGGCTATCGAAACTCTCGCCCCAGCTTTCTTGAATACATTCTGAACCTCGTCAGCCAGGAATTCCGCTCCTCTGTCGATCACTATCTTGCTGACACAACCATACCTAGATAAGTACTATAGGACGAAGTTCTTCACTTCCCTTGCCGTCTTACTCCTGATAGGTCTACCGTCCACGAACCCCGTGAAGTCGTCTCGTATGTTCACAACATAGTTCATATTGCCTACCCCTTTCGGCATCTTCACCAGATCGATGTGTACCTTCTCTCCTGGTCGGGTTGGATAGGATGGATGAAGTGGCTCTTTGTATTTCACAAAAGTGCTCTTCAGGTATTCTTCGCAGGTCATACAATATCTCTCGACGTCCTTATACTGTCCTTCCCACCAGTACAGCTTGCGTACCTTTGCGTAGGTCCCTCTGACTCCTCTATGTCCTCCGACCACCCCGTCGTGAAGCTCCGCTACTATCGTCTGTCTCTCTTCAGGATCACAGACTACTCGTAAGGGCATCCCCGACCCTACTGGCCTTCGGAATAGGTGGCCCGCTCTAAGGCAGTACTGGGCTGCTTGTCTCCGGATATCTAAATCTTGACTCTCCTCTCCCGTCAGGTGTAGCCCGATCGTTCGGTACTTGCCCTCGTAAAGGTTAACCAGAAATCTCTCGGCGCGTCTCGGCTCCGCCATTGTCAGGGCTCCAGCTACTATCGGGCGCTCTCCCTCAAGAGGGATCCGAGAGAGCCTATCCGCTACGACATTTTTAGTGCCAGATATCCTCTCTACTGTGTAATCATATAGTCGAATCTGTATTAACCATCGTGCAATGGTCGGGTCTGTCAGGTTAAAGTCCTTCTGGAGGACAGAGGCGACCGCGGTGGGATCCACTCTCAAGATGAACCGTCGTCCATAGATATAATGTCTGAACGTGTGTAGACACCGCAGAACAGCTAATACTTTCTTCTTGAATTGACTGTAGTTTCGCTCTGCCGTATTAAGTGTCCTACTCTCAAATCTTAATGGTTTTTCCTTCCCTTCATCGTTCTTCTGAGACAACAACCCTCCTACCTAACAAGGTCTAGCATCCGTGGCTACTATGAAGGGTCTCCCAGCCTCATCATCAACGAACGGCACGCTCAGTACGCGTCCTCCCTCCTTAAATTCATCTTTAAGCTCTTGCATAGCGAGTTTCTGCGAGGAATCCCAGTAGAATTTCTCAGTTTTTCGAAGGAGTAGTCTCAATGGCTCAGCCTTCTCCGCATACCCTCGTATGAATATACGCCAGTAACCGACCACTCCCAGAAACTGCCGGACCTCGGTTGGACTATGTAATGGTGACGGCCAGTTCAGGAGGTTGTCTAACTTCGCCGGATATGCTCGGCATCCCCTCGAGTCACAGACAAAGCCCAAGATCTTAATAGTCGAGACGGCCCATCGTCTCTTTGTTCCGCTGACTGTTAGATTCGCATCGTCCAGCTGCTCGAGTACCACGCAAATATCCGTTAGGTGCTGCTCGGCGAATCTTCTAACTCCAGGTGTAACCTCTGCCTCATCCTTGTTTACGGACCCTTTTATAGGAAAGTCATCCAGAAAAACTTCAACCTTATCAGGGATGAAGTCCTTGAGGACGGCTACCATGGCTCTCTGAAAAACGGCTACCCCATTAGTCCAACCCATAGGGACAACCATCATCTGTATTAGTCCCAATGGCGTATGCATAGCCGTGAGGTGCCTGTCTCTAGGGTCAAGTGGCACCTCATCATAGCTTGAGAACAAATCAGAGACCGAATAAATGGACCTACCTGCGGCGCCTTCTGCCAGTAAATCGGCGTGAGGCACGGAGCCCACGTCTCGTATCGTCACCGCGTTGACCTTCTGAAGGTCCTGGATCCATCGGATCTTGCCATTCGGCTTTCGTAGGAAAAACCATCGATTAGCATAAGCGCTATCAGACGGCTCCGCAACATGTCGCCATGCGATCCGCTCTGGCAGTCACCCCCGTTACTGCTCCTGTAGAAGCTTCTGCCTTAGGCCCCCCCTGACCCTCCTCCGATAGAGGTATGTGAGTCTTCCGCGTGATCATCTGTAACTCATCATGAGCCGGCTTCGATACCACCAGGTACTCCAGAATAGAGCACTGCATGGGTTGCCGAAGGGCCCGCCTCAGTGGCTCGACCGTGTCAATCTCGTCCAGCGAACTCTTCATTAAGAACTTCTTCACTCCCCTCTTTCGCGGCGAAAGGATAACCTCCTCTCCATCGACCCGCTGCCCGTCCTTCTCCGCCATCACGTAATCCGTGTCAGTCTTCTTCGATGTAGACCCTCTCGCCGACTTGGTGGCTGCCACCCTTATGGGTGTGGTCGCCATATCCCCCTCAAAGGTTATCTTGATGCTCTGGCTCCTGACCGACTCCTTTTCTTCACTCGGCTTTACTCTCCTTGCTTTGACATTCTCCTTCATCGAAGGGAACATCGATACATCTCCCAGACCATCTGCCCACTTGACGTACGTGCGGTCGTCAAGCACGACAAGTCCCTCATCTATTGCCCGTTTGAGGTCCGGGTAATCCCTCTTGATATGATTTTTTCCTCTACAGTAGATGCATGAGTTCCTGGGAGTAGATGGCCTGTCGTCTGCGCTTCTAGAGATCCAACTTCTGGCTGCCTTGGGGTCAGGCGACTTGGGATATGGTTCTGATGAGACGCCATATCCCCCTCTCTCATTCTGACCGCGCGAATCGTTGCGGCGGTCTCCTCCAGACCCTCCTTGCTCATACCGCCCTCGCGAATCATTCCGGCGGTCCCCCGAGTCATATCGCTCTCGTGACTCATCGCGTCGGTCCCCTCGGTTGTACCACCCCCGCGACTCGTCGCGCTGCTCTCTCGCATCTCCCCCTCGCTCAAACCGTTCGCGCGACCCATCTCGTCGTTCCCAGTCCCGATCTCCTCTTTCATACCTACCACCTCTGTAGCCATCTCGACCCGACCTCTCGTATCTGTCGTCCCTATATCCGTCTTGGTCCGATCTCTCGTATCTGTCGTCCCTATATCCATTTCCGTCCGATCTCTCGTATTTGTCGTCCCTATATCCATCTCGTTGGCCCTGATCTGTCTCCCATCGGCCGCGGGAGTCGCCTCTACCCCGATCGGCCTTATAGCGAGGGCTTCGCGGGTAATCATCCAGCCTCCTTGCTCGCGCAAACGGCTCGCGATCTCTGCGGTCCCGGTCTATCCCATCATCCCTATGTCGCCATGGCTCATCGTCTCTCTCTCTTCCCCTCGTACGATAATCAGTCAGCGTCCGAGGATTTCTATCCTCGACACTCCTCTAGGAATCGTTGTTCCTACGGTCCCAGCGAAGTGAATAGGGTCTTCCAGGTTTGTCCCGGTAGGCCGTGGCCCCTGTAGTGGTCACAATCTCTGTAATCCGGTTCGTCAATCCCTTCACCATGTCCCGTTGTCAGGCGGCCACAAGCAGTGCGCCGCCTGAAATCTATGGTTTAGGGACTTAGGCTCAAAGACAAGTCCGTGCAATGACGGTACTCTGGTTTGACCATGCAGCAAAAATTAGGGGCACCCCGAGTACCCCTAAGATTAGATATGACGACCGTTGAGACTAGCTCTCGAAATTGATAAGAAGGACTACCTTACCGCGGCG